ATAGACACCAGAAACCAGAAGTTTGGAGCACCCACATGGCTACTCACTGCTGTTTGTAACTGTAATCCCAGGAGATCTTATGCACTCTTCTGACCTCCACTGACACCAGGCACACAATCACAGGAAAATATTCACACAATGTCAAAAAAAAAAAAAAAAAAAGTCGGTGGTGGTGCACACCTTTAACCCTAGCAGAGGCAGACTGATCTGAGTTCAAGGCCATCCTAGTCTACAGAGCGAGTTCCAGGGCATTCCAAAGCTCCACAGAGAAACTATCTCAGGAAGAAAAAAACTACAATGTCAGTTTAAGAAAATAAAGCCAATCTCCATCCACTCCCTGACTTGGGTCCTTTCTGTCTTGCTTTTTTTTTCTTTTTCTTTTTTTTTAATTCGAGGCAGAGTTTTTTTTTTTTGTATTGCTTTGGATCCTGTTCTGGAACTCACTCTGTAGACCAGACTGGCCTCGAACTCACAGAGATCCACCTGCTTCTGCCTCCTGAGTGCTGGGATTAAAGGCGTGCACCACCAACGCCCGGCTTTCTGTCTTGCTTCTTTCAGCACTTACTAGCATCTGGCCCACTGTGTTTTTATCCATTGGGATATAAGTTTGTGATGCTAATTGCTTGGTCTCTTTCTAACATGGGTCCTGGCACACGGTATCTGCTTAATAACTAGTCAAGTGGCATCAGGATGGGAGATATAGTTGCTTTTAACATTGTGATATCCCTTTCTGTTCACCCCTCACCACTCATCATCCCTTAGGAAAAAGAAGAAAATTAAAGTTCAGATTTTTTTTTTGGAGAAATCAGAGATACTGACAAAATATGATTGTAAACACTTAAATTGAAACCTGAGTTTTCTGTTGCCTACTTTTCTGCTGAAAAAAAAAAAAAAATATGTTGCAAATAATTCTCCAACAGCCCTGTGTCTTTGAGGTAGATGCAATGGTAGGTGCAATGAGGTAGGTCCATATGCAACGCAGCAGGCTTCAGGGAGAATGGTTTCTATTGGATTTGACAAAAGTCTCAAGAATTTTACTCAGGCATTCATCGAACTTGGTGTAGCTGATAATATTTGAGTTTAGGACAGGAATGGCAAACTAGTACTTAGTGAGAAAGAACCACCTTTGTCAACCAAGATGGTTTCTGATGAAAGCAAAAGGGGAGTGGGAACTGGTGGCACACGCCTTTAATCCCAGCACTTGGGATGCAGAGAGGTAGGTGGCTCTCTGTCAGTTCAACTTGGTCTACAAAATGAGTTCCCGGACAGGCAGGGCTGTTACACAGAGAAACCCTGTCTCAGAAAAAAAGGAGGGAGGGTTACTTTTAATACTATTTTACTTAGTAATACTGCGAATTGCTACTTTTGCTACAGGCCTTGAACTCCCACTTTCCAATCCAGAAAGTGCATTTCTGGGCTGTGTGAGGAGCATTACCTAGGAGTTCTGTTTCCTTGGTTTCTTTAATCTGCTTGCCTGCAATTTCAGAGCAGCCGAGCCCAGTCTCCCGTTTCTGACTGGAGTTACCACTGTCCAAGAGAACTGCTGGCCATTGAGCTGTGAGTAATTGGCCTTTGAGAAGTAAATAGAACCTGGCCTGCAGAGAACCCCGGGTGTGGCCAGTAGTTCTTTTCCCAGGCTCCTCCCTCCCACCCACCCCCAAATGACCTTAACCTTCTTTCAGAGCTGGACAGCAGCCAAGTCCAGCCTAAACAATACTCTGAAGCTGATTGGCTCTTTTGCTTGGCAGGCACTGCCACCCCCAACGGGCTAAGGCCTTCCCAGGCCTCTCAGTGGAATCAAGGCTTCTAACTATTGAAAGGCAAACCCTGAAGGAGGTGTTTTTGTAACATGTCCATGGTTTTTTTGAAACATCAGTGTTGGCACCCGCAACTGGAAACAGGGAAGGGTCTTAGTGACCTGGGGTGGGTGAGACATGCCAGAGGTCAAACAGGATACTTTTGGTAACTGTCCAACACCTAATTGGTGTCATTTCAGATGTCAGGATGGCTGTAAATACACCCATCATCCTTGGAAACTGTCAGTGAACAATTTTTGATTGTTTCATGTACAGTGAAAAGTACCAAACTTCCGGAAAGGTCTACCTGTTCATCATGAGCACTAGCCTTGACCACTGACAGTAGATAGGAAGGAATCAGGGCAGTATGATCACTTTCATCTCCATGGTGTGACTTCAGATCCTGGTGTAGTGAGATAATCACCTTGTCTGCACCTGTGGCATAGACCACGCCCATTGGGAGGTGGAGACAGGGCCAGATGTGACCTGGGGGAAGTAAGGCTGAGGAGGGGGCTTGGAGAGCTCTCTGGCTGGCAGCACAGGGACAGGAGGACTTCCAGAGGCAACCTTGGGACCAGGAGCCTGCTGGTGTTCATCTGCCTATGTTGTGAGTTATTTCTCCCTGAATAAACATCTATTCAGCCTATTTCTCCTGATCCTTATTAAACATCAATATCCAGGGTCACCTACTGCAAACCCATAGGAGAGAAGCTCTGGAAAGCTGTTGTAGGTAAGGGATTGTTTTGAGACAGGGTTTCTCTGTGAAACAGTCCTGGCTGTTTTGGAACTAACTCTGTCTACCAGAATGGCCTTCAACTCTCTTGAGATCCACTTGCCCCTGCCTCTCAAGTACTGGGACAAAAGGTGTGCACCACTACCACCCAGCTCTGGAAAGTTTAATGCCTGGAAACACATGTATACACTGGGCAATTTCTCAGCCCAGCCTGGGGCCCAGGTCATGTCAGATGTAGAGGCAAGAACAAGGCAAGGAAGCTATGACAAGGAATAAATTGTAAGAATGCTTCAGGGCAGTGACCCTGGTATCTACATATTTGATGGGAAAACTGTTGTTTGGACATGTGGTTAGAACAGTCTCGAACAGACTCTCAAAGAGTACTTTATGCTAATCACTCACAAATCACTTGACAGGCACGTCTTCCTCATTGCCTGTGGCATATGGTCCCATTGGAAGAAAGAGAAGGTAGGTATTTGATGTGCCTTACACAGATACTAAGTACAGTTCCTAAATACTCCTAGCCAGGAAGAGATACAAACGTCTAAACTTGGGAACAATTAAAGTAACATGAAGTAGCTAGGCATGGTGCCTCACACATGTAAATAATATCAGCCCTCAGGATAATGAATTTGAGGTCATCCTAGGCTACATAGCAAGACTCTGTCTCAATAATAATACTTTTTTCCCAAGACAGGCTTTCTCTGTGTAACAGCCCTGGCTGTCCTGGAACTCACTTTGTACACCAGGCTGGCCTTGAACTCACTGAGATCCACCTGCCTCTGTCTCCCAAGTCCTGGGATAAAAGGTGTGTGCCACTACCACCCAGATGCTCAATAATAATAATAATAATAGAGCCAACTTGGAAAGCTGAGCCCTGAGTTCAAGACATGTGTAACCTTGGGCACTTCCTTTAGTGAGTGTTGATTTCCTTATGTATAAAATATGGCATCAAGTTAAATCAATTTGTTCACTACATACAAAACATACAAGGCACAATAAGGTTTTGCTACTGTTTATGTAGCACTAGGGATTGGGTCTAGCACTGTCACTGGCTTACACTTTCTGCCCAAGCTGCCTTTCCAAGTGTTCTAATACTTGATTCAAAGATTGCCCTGGTCTTCCATTGTATTTCAGAAGTTAATATTCCAAAAGAGAAAAACAGATACTGAAATGACATGGACAGCATAAAGTAGACAGTGCTAAAACAGACAAGTGACAAACAGAGCAGAATGGCAGATGTGGGTGGATATAATTTGTCCCTGAAGCCAAAGGGTGGTCTAATGTGATAATGTTTCAAGCAAACATGCAGAGGCAGACAAGTTCAAAGAACAAAAATGATGTCATCCTCTTGAATTTTAGGATTGTAGAAATTGTGACACATTTCTTGCATTGATTACTTTAGGAATCTGAATTGTGAAACTGTTTCCCTGATGCTATGGGGTATTTCCTTTTTAATGCAAGGTAGGAGATGTAGTCTTTCTGGGGTCCTGGGACAAGGCTGTCTCCCTTGCCTTCTTTCTTTCTAGTGGCTTGGCTGGCTGCGTTGCTGCAGGCTCCATTTTAACTGCACACTGAAGGCAAACTACCTCTTTCTCCTTTCACTCACTCACAGCCTCGGAGTCCCACTACCCACTCCCATCCATCCCATCCTGCCACTTTCCAGCCTAAAAAGCCTGACTTGTCAGGGCTTTGAGAGCACAAGATTCAGCTTCCTTGTTCTCCTGTAGGAGCAGAAGCCAGAAAATGAAACGGGAAACAGAGCAGAAGAGGAGGGGGTTGGGTAGCTGGGAAGGAAGGAGACATTGCAGCCAAGTTACAACTGAGTTCTACCTCCAAAGGGTGTTTCAGCCCACACTCTCGCTTCTCACAAGAGGGTCCCCTGCCTTTTTTACAAGTAGATTCTGAGGGAATTCGATGTGGACAGACAGGACCTCGAGCACTTCCCCCTGTGAATTCACAAAGGGCCATCTCCGTTTGTCTTTAAAAGACAAGAGTGCTGCGGAGCCGGAGCCTCTAGAGATTCAAGTCACAACCTTATGCCCTACTCACAAGGCACAAGTGTGCCCAGAGAGGCGTTGCCAATTTCACTCACACAACTGGACACAAGCACTGAAAAGCATGATGAAAGCATGATTTGTAAACTCCTTTTTTCTCTTTACCCACTACTAAAATGTGCCTTATACTTTATCCACCTTACACACAAATATCCACCGGGCAGTTCTAAGTTCCAGGGCCTGAAATGATACAGCGCCTGGCCCCCACCAAACTGATGGGGGCTAGTTTTCTTTGCTCGGAGAGATAGATAGCGACCGTCTCTTTGTTCCCACCCACATCAGTGGCTGTTGCAGAAGATAAACCCCTCCCTCGGCCAGGGTTGTGGCCAGAGGTTAACCCAGACCCAAGCTACGTTGAGAGGACAGATAACTGAAACCACAGAAGGCTTTGGAATCCTGAGAAACAAGAAATCCAACGGAGAAGGATTTATTATCTGTTTCCTCTAGGGAGGGTGCAAAGTCGTTCTAACAGTTTCCGTTACAGGGTACCAACTGGCCACCCCTCCCCAACAGACGGTTTTGTTGAATTAGCTTCCTTTTTTTTTTTTTTTCCTTCTGCTTTTGGCGCCACTTCCTACGACAGAAACTGCTTGAGGGAGGAGTCCTCGAGGGTGTTCTCTGAGGTTTCCTTCCTCGTCCTAAACAGCCACCTAAGGTGGGACTGAGAACTGAAGCAGGGCAGAGGTCCCCATAGCCAGAGGAAGGGAAAGTCTGGGGGATGCCCCACTTTCTTCGCGCCCTGGCGCTGGGTGCCGCTGCTTGCCACAAAAACCCCAAGAGGGCTTTCTTTCGCCTATTCATATTGTTACTGTGTGCCAGGCCCTGTGCTGAGCTGGGGTGAGGGATAGGAGAGAACGCCCGGCTCTGGCTGCAGTGAATGGGCCTGGGGTGGTGGCCGGTGCAGCCTCGGCCCACAGCGGGAAGCCAGAGGCCGCTTGCGGGATGGGACTGGGGCGAGAGCGCCGACTGAGGGCGCAGCGCCCGCGCACAAACTGACGGCGAGCGAGAGGCAAACTCTTCAGGTGTCACCACGCAGGGAAGGTGCGGCGCACAGACTCGGCCCCCGCCCCAGCCGGGGTCAACATGGCCGCCGAGCAGGGAGGCGGGGCGCTCCGAGTCCGGGCAGGAGCTGGGCGGGGCCGCCGTCGGCGGAGCCAGCGCGCAGGCGCGGGACGCTCGGGACCCGGATGGAGGTGCTGAGGTTGGAGCTCCGAGGGGGTGGTCTGGACGCGCGGGCGCGGAGGACCCGGCGCCAGCTCTGGAGCTCCGGACTTCTCCGGGGAGGGAAGCTGTCAAACGGAGGCAGAGAGAAATTAGGCGGAGGCTGTAGAGGAGCGAGGAGCCCCGCCCCTCCGCCATAGCGGCCCCCGGCGCCGCCTCTTCCTTTGCGGCCTCCGGCCCTCGTCTGCTTCCGGCCCTGTTGCCTAGCCCGGCCCTGCGGTTCCCTCGGGACGAAGTCCTGGGCCATGGCTCCCTTAGGGTGAGGGTCAGTACCCCGTCCCGGGTAGGAACTGTGTCCGAAAAGAACAGGCTGGAACGGCTCCCGTTACCGCGGGGCTTAGAAGGAGGCCGTTGTTGGCACGGAGCACCCTGGGTCAGAGCGCATCACCCCACGGAGGAGAGCCCAGGACTCGAGTTCAACAGGCTTTTCCAGATAGGGCCCATCACCATAAGCTTCCAGCAACAACCTGTGTTCCCGTTGGAGGAAGTACTGGGCTAGGTGGTGGAGACCTGCGTTGTCCGGGCTGGAAAGGAATGAAAACCCTTTGTGTTAAAGGCAGAACGCGCCCCTGACTTTGGGCATAAGGTTTTAGAAAGCAGTGCATGAGGCGCTTTAAGTAATGGGCGTGTCACTTGGCTCCAGTGAGCCTCAGTTTTCACATCCATAAAATGGCGATGGTAATTACACCCGCCTCCCTGTGTCTAATGAGATCTCTGGATCCTATCTCACGGGAAAATTAAAGAATGAAACTGGTTGGTTCTAAGCGTCCTGCCAGTTAAGAGTGTGATTTAGCAAGGGGCTCTTTCAAAGGGAAGTTGGCAAATAGCTAGAGGGATAATTGACTGTGTTGATTTTTACTTGGTTTAACTGCAAATTAAGCGAGGGTTGCATCTCATGTGGCCACTGAGGCCAGAGTTTGAAAGAGGAAGAGAATGCGAGTCTGTTTAAGATGCAGAGGTAGATTCAGTACTTTTCTGTTCCCTGCCTCCCTTGTGCATGCAAGTGGGAGGGCCAGTGGGGGAATGAATTAATCCTAGGACGGAGGAGATAGATGGGTGTGCGTGTTTCTGGGTTTAGTGAATCCACTGTTGAAGACACGGTGTATAGTCACAAAATACTCCTTCCCCGGAGTGTTCAGAAGCTTAATGGGTAAACCGATGTGGATTTGGGAGGTGAGGGGCCCGCATTTTCTCCTGGCCTCCTGGTGATGAAGTAAGCAATAAGTGAGTGCCCCCTTGTGCCAAGTAAGAAGTACTGTCGCTGTTAGCCAGTCTTGTCCCCTTGGTGGAGAATTTTACTTTCCCCCGCGTTTTCTGTGATTTTGTCATGTTGTTGTTGTTTGTTTTGGGGATTTTTCGAGTTAGGGTTTCTGGGTGTAGTTTGTAGATGTAGCATTGTAGACCAGGCTGTCCTCGAACTCACAGATACCCGCCTGCCTCTACCTTCCCAGTGCTGGGATTAAAGGTGTGAGCCTCCACCACCTGGCTTGTTTGTTTTTATTGTTATTTTGTGTGCATGTGTTTGTGTGTGTGTGGCTACTTTGCTTTGTTTGTTTTAATTGTTACTTTGTGTGCACGTGTTTGTGTATATGTGTGTGGCTACAAGTGAGTTATGGCAAACCTGTGTGAAATCAGCATAACTTGTAGGAGTGCCTCTCAACACAGTAGGAGCCACGACTGCTTTTAAATTGAAGAAAGGGAGAGAGGGAGGGAAGAGGGGGAAAAAAGGAAGTGCCTTGAAGTGCATTCTGTGCCTCAGAATGGCTTTGGGTTTTTTGTGCCTTGTTGCCACTCCTGTGGAGATGGGAAATAGTCGCTTAATCCTTCCCTAGTGGTAGACTGTGTCTTTGCCCTAAGTTTGTTTTAGCAATGGGAGCTGGCCGAAGTCCTGCTGAGCAGTGGTTTTCTTTTCCTTCTCCACTTAATTTAACCGACCAGCTGAACACACATCAGAGAGCTAAACTGGCATGTGTAGTTATTACAGGCTTCTAGTATGGTTCTGTGTCCCACTTTGGGGACTGGTTTGGGAATTAGTTTATTATTCTGGGCAAGAGGGAAAAGGCACATGCCAAATAATAGCCACAACATTGATTTGTGCAGTGCTTTTTAGTTTAGTCTGTTTTACCATGGTGAGAAATTTGTGATATGGGGTGGGAGGGGATAGTCTTATCCCATTTTACATACAAAGAATGAGTCTCAGAGGAATAAGTGAGAACTTGCAAGTGATAGATTTGGGACTTGAACCCCGGTCTTGACTCCTACATAAAAGCATTCAACAAACTTCTGTGAGCTTAGCTTTTGAGCTTAGTACTTATCTGTGTGTAGAACTTACCCGACTAGAGTACGTGCAGAGTGACGCCAGTGGTCCATGTGCCTTCAAAGATAGCCTTCCCTCTGGACAGTCAGATGGATGATTCCGTTTGCCATGAGATGCTGATGGGGGTGGCTCCTGTGAAGAAAATGTTTGTGCTTTTCTTTTGGCCCATGTGTGACATTTTCTTCCTTGGGTGTTAGAGTTTAGAAGCCTGAGGAAGCTCAGACCTGGCAGTGAAAGGATGTGGCTCCCGGACCCATCTCAGAAAGAGGTGCTGAGGTTTGCAGTGAGCTGCCGCATCCTGACTCTAATGCTACAGGTCAGTCTCTGGTCCTTTCCCTGAGCATGCTGTTGCTGTGTGACTGAGCTCATCCCTCCTCTCCTGATGTGCCTTGTTGTGTGGTTCCACCCATACAGATTTAGACCTGGTAGCTGAAAAGTGGGCAAGGGCCTTAGTAGTGGTATTGATCTTGTGCCTTACAAAGCAGCAGAGGCCCAGACAGGCTAAATGATTTGTCCAAAGCTATGTAGCAAGATAAAGGGCCAGAGCTGGACCTCAGGCTCCCAAACTCCCTACCCAAACTGGAGTTTTTCCGGACAGACCTTAATGGTCTGACCAACAGAGATACTTTGAAGGTATATGTGACAGCTCAGAGTATTGCCAGGACTGCCTTACTTGGAGTCTGCATACTGTATTAGTTGATTGGGAGAGAGGAGGCACTTCCAGAGTTCTAAGACCATCTACGAATATTCATCAGAATGATTCTCCTTGTCTTAGCCACTAGTTCTCAGTATGTTTGCCCTTTTGCCACCCCTTCCCCCAAGCTGCCTTGATGCATATTTTAATCAAAATCACACATATGTGAAATAGCCTAGCTTGCTTTACATTTGGTAGTCCTGAGTTTTGATCATGAATGAACGTAGGTCAGTACCCTAGAGTTGCTGTATTGATATAATGATATATTTTTTAATAATTTATTTTTATTTCATTTTATTTCATTTGCATTGGTGTCAGATCTTGGAGTTAGACAGGTGTGAGCTGCCATGTGAGTGCTGGGAATTGAACCTGGGTCCTCTGGAAGAACAACCAGTGCTCTTATCTGGCTGAGCCATCTCTCCAGCCCAATATATATTTCTTTATTCCCCCATATCTGGGGCTCCTAGCTACTTCCTTTGTGGAAACCTTTTCTTTCCTCCCTCTGAGCTTCTAGCTCTGAATCTTCCTGCACATTAAATGAAGCACTTCAGACTCTGCTGGCTTTGGGGATTAGAGTGCCTTTAGCATGGAGGCCATTGCTGTTACCTGTGATTATTACCCCCATCCCATTTCTTTTCACTGTTTGCAGTGGCCTGATAAAGAAACCAGCTGTAGTCACACACCTTTAATCCCAGCACTCAGCAGATCTTTGTGAGTTTGAGGCCAGCCTTGTGCACTGAGTGAGTTCCTGGACAGCCAGGGCTACACAGAGAAACCCTGTAAGGGGGGTGGAGGGGTGAGGGGAATAGTGAGGGGAGAGAGAGAGAGAGAGACTGATAGAAAAGAGAAGGAGCCTTTAAGTGAGCTGCGCTTGTTGCTGGGCTGGGGAGCCTGAGTCAGTGATGGCTCTGAACCAGCATCAGCTGAATTCCTGGCAGAGCCAAAGGAGCAGTGCCTGGAGTCAAGCATCTGTGGTAGGGAGCCAGGACAGCTGCATTCTCATTCAGTGTGATTTCGGAAACAGTATATTTCCTCAAATCCCTGAAGCTCAGCCACCAAAATTATAGTAAGTACCTATTCCCAAAACTGTACTAAATTGTAAGTGAAAGGTCATGTTTTCCTTCAAGTAACTGACAACCTAATGAGGCACAAAGACATATAACAATAAATTGGATTTCACTCTCTCTTTCCTCATGCTATCAGATTATATCCCTAGCTACCCTCCACTGTTGCTGCCATCTCTGTCAGTGACGGTTATTCTTTGACGGCTTTAACTCCGGGTTCACTGGCACTCTAACTGTCACTGCTTCTGTTGACATCTGTGCTTTCACTATTAGTCAGATGATACATTCAGCACCTGTCCCTCATGGCATCTTCCCACTTCCTTTTAGGGACCTTGTCTTCTCCACTCCATAGTGTTGCTCCATAGCCAACATCTGCCAGAGAGACTGCTCAGGTATCTCATTCTCTGGCCACTGTCTCCCGTCTCTGTAGCTCATTCCTCAGACCTGTTTCTGTCACATTCTCTGGCTCTGTGTTGATTTGGCCTTTGCCCTCCAGCCTTCATCTTCCTCTTCCCAAACGGAGTCATTCCTTTATGGTGGATCATTCCTATGCATACATGCAACTCTCTTCTTCCATTATCCCTGTTTTATTCATAAGACAAAGTCTTATCTTGGGGAATATAGTCATCTGCTTCCTTCATGCCTTCAATATCCACTTTAAAAAAACATGCAAGTATATTAACTAGCTTTTTTTTTAGTATAAGATCAAATGAGTCATTAGTATCACCTGGAAATCTTGATATCTTGATGAATTTCCATAGTCCACTCACCCTCATATTCTTTTAAATATTTTTTGCACATCTCAGTTACTTGGGGACTTTTTAAAAAATGTAGTATTGAATGGAGATGTAGCTCAATGGTGGAATTTGTGCTTAACATGTGTGAGGCTCTGGATTTTATATTCTGTCGTGCATGCCGTACATACTCACACACACACAAAAATCCAATACCCAGAGCTGGCAGGATGACTCAGAAAGTAGTCACATACCTCCAAACCTGATAACCTGACTTTGGTCCCTGTGATCCATGTGGTGAACCAACTCCCACAAGCTGTCCTCTGCACACATGACATGGCATATACACATCCCCATACACATAAAATAAATAAAAATATATATTTTTAATCAAATGTTCAGGCTCTGTTCAGTCTCATTTTAAGTAACCAAGGAAAAGACTTGGGGATTATCACTATTGTTTAAATTCCTGGATAGTTTGCACAACCTGACTGTACAGCCAGTACTTATTTTGTTTTTTTCTTTCCACAATTTAATCTTTGTTTGATTATTCTATGTGTATGAGTGTTTTGCTCGCCTGCCTAAGGAGGGTATGGGACCCTCTAGAGCTAGAGTTATAGTCTGTTGTTGGCCACCCTGTGGGTGCTGGGAATCAAACCCAGGTCCTCTGCAAGAGCAACAGGGCCTCTTAACTGGGCAGTCTACCAATCCATAACAACTTCCCCCCATTACTTTGAAGTAAGAATTCAAATTCCTGGATAAAGACTCAGGACAGTTAGCCTACCTACATGTATCTTTGTGGCTTCACTACTGATTGTGGGATACATCATCTCTCCTCTCGCATCTGTCCGGCGGGTGCTGCCCTGTATCCTGCCCAGAGTTCCTTCCAGCCTCCCACCTACTCAGTGGTTTCTGTTCACTGGCTCATTCCAGTAGTATGCAAAAGTTTATGTCTCATCCCCCACACACACAAACACACATGCATGATGACATACATGTAACAAGCACTGGGACACGCAGGGGCATAAAGATCAAATTCAAGGTCATTCTCAGCTCTGTTTCAAGTTTGAGCCCCATTCGAATACATGAGACTCTGTACTTTTTACTTTACATTGCTCTACCTACTACCCCATTCCTCCGCTCATCTTCACAGCAAAGCTCTTCAAAATCATTACATGTGCACTCTCCCCTTTTCTATTAACTAGGTGGCTTCTCACCTCCATTCTGCTGAAGTAGCCCCAATGGGTCACCAGTGACCTTCACACTGTTGAAGACTATGATAGGTTTGCTGTTCTATCTTACCTGGGTCCTGTCAGCAACATTCACTTGATTCTAAGACACTGTTCTCCCTTGGATTTCCCACAGTTCACTCACCATTCACTGTTCCTGCTTGTATGCTTAGAACACATTGTGTATATCAGGCTGGCCTGGAACCCACAAATACCCACCTGCCTCTGGCTCCTGAGTTCAGAAATTCAAGACTATGCTAGCATGTCTAGCTTCCTGCTTTTTCTCCATGCTGGATCATTACTTCCTTGCCAGGAGGACGCTTCATCCTTGATAGGCTCTGTCTTTAGATCTCTTCTGTACCTCTACTTCCTCCTCAGGCAGTTTCCTTCATTCTCACACCTGGGACTACCATCCCTACTTCCAACTCCAATTTATATAAATCCTGATCTGGCTTTCATTTGTAGACAAAGGCATCTCCTGCTTGACTGACCTCTATGCTGGAGTTAACTAGTTAGCATTGGAGCTCCTTACACACTCAAGCACACACACATACACACACACACACCAACCATATCAAGTCTATTTCTCCCATTTTATTAAGTGGTAATTCTTTTCTCCCAGTTACTCACCAACACCCTGGTTCTCCTTCATCCCACAGGCACTCTTCAATGTCATCATCCCAGATCACCATGCAGATGCCTTTTCTCCTCCCCGCCTGGCCTCCTCGGGCTCTTTGGATCAGCTTGTGGAAGGTCTCCTGGGTGGTCTGTCTAGATGGGATGCAGAACACTTCCTGTTTATTGCTGAGCACGGCTACCTTTATGAGCACAACTTTGCCTTCTTCCCTGGCTTTCCCTTGGCCCTGCTGATGGGAACTGGACTGCTGAGGCCTTTGCAGGGCCTCTTGAGCCAGCGCAGCTGCCTACTGATCTCAGTAGCACTTCTCAACTTCCTGTTCTCTGTGCTGGCTGCAGTCACACTTCATGATTTGGGCTGTCTGGTTTTGCACTGTCCCCGCCAGGCCTTTTATGCAGCCATGCTCTTCTGCCTCAGCCCTGCCAATGTTTTCTTAGCAGCTGGTTACTCAGAAGCTTTATTTGCCTTCCTGACATTCAGTGCCATGGGGCAGCTGGAGAGGGGCCGGAGCTGGGCAAGTGGGCTGCTCTTTGCTCTTGCCACTGGGGTGCGCTCCAATGGGCTGGTCAGTGTCGGCTTCCTCCTGCATTCTCAGTGCAGAGACTTTTTCTCTTCTCTTTTGGTGCTGAACCCCTTGAAACCACTCATCAAGCTGGTGGCCTCTCTCTGCTTGTCAGTACTCACTGTCAGCCTTCCCTTTGCTCTCTTTCAATATTATGCCTACACCCAGTTCTGTTTACCAGGCTCTGCCCACTCCATTCCTGAGCCTTTGGTACAGTTAGCTGTGGACAAAGGCTACCGTATCACAGGAGAAAATGAGCCCCCGTGGTGCTCCTGGGGTCTGCCCCTAGTATACAGCTACATCCAGGATGTCTACTGGAATGTTGGCTTTCTGCGATACTATGAGCTCAGGCAGGTGCCCAATTTTCTACTGGCTACACCAATGGCTGTACTGGTTGTGTGGGCAACCTGGACATATGTGACCACCCACCCTTGGTTCTGTCTTACACTTGGACTTCGAAGAAGCAAGGACAGTAAGACTCTAGAGAAATGGCACCCTGGCTTCCTCAGTCCAAAGGTGCTTGTGTACCTGATCCACGCTGCCCTGCTGCTGCTCTTCGGAGCTCTGTGCATGCATGTTCAGGTGAGGTGGGTTCTCCCTGGAGTGACTGAATACAGGGAAAACCTGTGTACAGTACAGATGTGCTCAGGCGCTGAGGAGGAGGAAGTAGGGGGATTTTAAATTGAAGCCATCCCGGACTACAAAGCCATCTTCAGACCCACATGGGCTAAATAACCAGACAAAAACAAACCTGGGCCTGTGTTTGTTCCAGAATCTAAATTAGAACCCCAAGGATGGGTCATGTGTAAGATAAAATGACTGGCCAGATGGTGGTGGCGCACCCCTTTAATGCCAGCACTTGGGAGGCAGGGGCAGGTGGATCTCTCTGATTGAGGCCAGCCTGATCTACAGAGCAAGTTCCAGGACAGCCAAGGCTACACAGAGAAACCCTGTCTCCAAGAAGGATAAAATTACTGTCTTAATGAGTATTATGATATAAGCACAGAGATAGACATAAAATTAGGGGCTAGGGTGCACTCAGTTGGTACACTACTTGCATAGAATGCATAGAAGACCTCAGGTCCTTTCTCAACACTGCATAAAAAACTGCCTATAATCCCAGCTAAGGTCATTCTTTACTACATAGTGAGTTACTACATAGTGAGTTTGACGTCAGCCTGGGCTATGTGAGACCCTATTTGTTTGTTTCAAATTATAGTACTGTTGTTATTTTTAAAAATATATACATATAGACTAGAGAGATGGCTCAGAGGTTATGAGCACTGGCTGAGCTTCCAGAGGTCCTGAGTTCAATTCTCAGTAACCAAGTGGTGGCTCACAACCATCTGTAATGAGATCTGGTGTCCACAGGCATACATTCAGGCAGAACACTGTATATATAATAAAATAATAAATAAGCATATTTAAAAATTTATTTACTACATTTACAGTGTTCTGCCTGCACATATTATTGAATCCCCCCTCCCCTAAAAAGAAAGAAAATCCAATTAAGTGGTCAGATAAAATACTACATATGTTCTGACAGTATAATGTAGTGGTAGAGTACTTGCCTGGCATCTGAGAGGTCTGCATTCAATCCCCAGCACACAAATAAAGGTACGGGCACTTGCTGCCAAGCATAATTGACCTGAGTTCAGTCCTTGGAATCCACATGATAGAAGAGAACTGACCACACACAGTCAATGAGTGTATTTGTCGTGATGTGAAAAAATAGTTAACTCACTAAGGAATCGTATTTAAGATGGGTTCTGAAGAGGACGACCTTCCCATGTAAGAAGCATGTAGGAGTGGGGAGACAGCTTGCAGTGCACACATAGGAGGCTGCACCCTCAGCTCAGCACCCACATAGAAGAGCAGGCATGGTGGTGTTCATCTGTGATCCTTGTGCTAGGGAAACCGTCAGGAGGACCTGGATGTGCTGGGCAAGACCATCCTCATACAAAGAGAGTTGAGGTCAGCCTGCACTACATGAAATTCTGTCTCCAAGACAAAGAAACAGCAAAGAACATTCCAGGCAGATGGGGCAAGGGATGGGCACAAGCAAAGGCGTGATGGCTATGAGAGGACATTGTTCAGGCTGGAATGTGAGGGTAAACACAGGTTCTCTTGGGGCCCGCCCTTTCCCTGGTGCACAGACTGCCTGCCTTGGTCTTTTAGGGTGTCAAGCACAAACAAGAGACTATCTTGTCCAGTGTTTTGAGGTGGTGGTGGCAGAATGGGATCAGGGGTTTGATCTTATATCCAGTTTTAAAGTTCTTGGCTGTCTCCAAGGAAGTCTTTTCCCTGTGCTGACCTGTCCTCCCTCACAGGCATATACTGACCGTTTGTAATGCTCTTTGAGCCATGTGGTTAGGGAAATACAAAATAGTTATCTATGTCTGTGACTGGAGCAGCTTTGAAGTGAGTGCCAGGCAAGCTCAGTTTGCAAGGTAGGCGAGAGCCCTTGGCGATTTGGCCCAAAATGTAAGATGGGGGAAGGTGACTGCTGCTTCCCTCTGCCCCCGGCCCATGTGATAATAGCTGCCTCGGGTTCCCAACCTCCAACAGGCTAAAATTTAGAGGCTATGGCTAAAATAAGACCCTAGAGAAATTTTAGTATTGGTTTGCCCATTATTGCCCAGGTAATTAGCCTGATACTCTGATTATTGGTAACCGAAGGTTGCCTGGCAGGTACACAAATCTTTATCAGGCAGACCTGCAGCTCTGCTGAATTTGTTTTCCAGTGTGATCTCCTAGTTGTCAGGCATGATTCACCCAGCCACATCATTGATGCATCCATATGGGATTTTTGTTTGGTTTTCTTAGGTTCTCACACGGTTTTTGAGTTCTTCCACTCCTGTTGTGTACTGGTTCCCAGCTCACTTGCTTCAGAATCAAGAACCACTGTTGAGATCTGTAGACACAGCGCCTGAGAAGCTTCTTGAGGAAAACTCCCCACCAGAACAGAAGGCCCCCAGAAACTGTATCATGAAACTCTTGTACAACTGGAAGGCCTGTTCTCCAGTCACAAGATGCATTCTTGGCTACTTCCTGACTTACTGGCTCCTGGGACTACTCCTCCATTGCAACTTCCTGCCTTGGACTTGACCAGGAATCTCAAGGGACAGGCTGGAAGCTGATTTAACCCAGGGGCTGAAAAGTTCAAGAGACACTGGCTGGGACTGCCTGCTCATCCCTGAGAGCACTATCTGTTAGGCTCAACCCCTGTGCCCCTGGAGACCAGTTAGCAATGGAGAATAGCAAGGAATCCTTAGTGGGAGGAGGAACTGTTTTCTCTGCTGAATGGAGTTGTCTCAAATCTCCTTGATCAACAAGCATCAGACAATCTTAAACCTCCTGCTGACCCATGTGGAAGTTTTTTTGGTTTTATGTTTGTTTGGTTAATGTTTTGAGACAGGGTTTTCTCTTTGTTACCTTGGCCGTCCTGAATCTCTAGACCAGGCTGGTCTAGAACTCAGAGGTCGGACTACCTCTGCCTCCCAAGTGCTGGGATTAAAGGTGCAAGCCACCACTGCCTGCCTTTCCATATATAAATTTTTTGTTTTTCCATATAGGGTTTCTCTGTAGCTTTGGAGCCTAACCTGGAGCTAGCTCTGTAGACCAGGCTGGCCTCGAACTCACAGAGATTCGCCTGCCTCTGCCTCTGGAGTGCTGGGACTAAAGGTGTGTGCCACCAACGCCCAGCCCCACTTTAGCCTGGTGCACTGGAGATGGTGGGGGCAGGGTAGTGAAAAAGAGGAAAGGGGACCCCTCTCTGAGACATTTCTGAAGTCTCCTTTATGATGTGTGCATTTACATAAAAAAATCCTACACTATGAAAATTTAAAAACCTGTATTTGCAATGAATTTGGGGGTGGGGATTAGGGGAGTTGAGACAGGGTCCCTCTGTGTAGATCAGGCTGGTCTTGAACTCACAGAAGACCACCTGCCTCTGCCTCTGAGTGCTGGGACTAACAGTGTGTGCCAAGCTCTGATGAGTTACTTTTTATAAATTGTAAGGGCTTGGGGGCTAGAACACAGCAGTAAAGCATGTGAAACCCTAATTTCAATAATAAATTATTTGAATCAGAGCACAGGATCTGAACCCTGGATCCTAATCCTCATGTTCCAGCTGTGTAATCCTAAATACTTTGAGAGCCTTCTTTACCTACTCTGAAACTAAGGAAGGTGCTGTACCCTGGGGTATGCTTTAGGTCTTTTAGGCCTTAAATCTTGAGGTTACCTTAAACAACAGATTCCAATCTAAACACCTGAAGGCTCAAATGTGACCTAAGTGGAAAGTCCTCCATTTCCTATGATCAATTAGAAGACCCCTTCTATCACCTTTGGGAACAACCCTGAATGGGAGCTGCCATGGGGTTGGAATGACTGGTTTTCCACCTCCAAAAGCTCATGCTTGATTGGTAGGCATGAGTCAGAGGCACCAGCACCACAGGCCTGCACCCGGCCTGCTTCCTGGCTGTCTTTGGTTACTAATAGTAGTTCCACTGCCCTTGATGAGTGGTGGCTTCCACTTATCCCAACACTCCAGGATGCTGAGGCAGGAGGAGTTTGAAGGCAGCTACAGATTAAGTCCGTGTCTAAATTAAAAAACGCTGGTCCTGCCCAGCAGTGTTTGTTCATTTCTTGAGCCGAGCCAGGTAAGAGTTTGGCTGTGTATCATTATCCTTCTTACTCCCCACTGAGCCAAAAATTCCAATAAGCGGCATTCTTCAAAACAGATGGCAATCCGCAGCAGCTTCTGGAAAGCTGAGAGTTAGAATTTGGACACACTCCCTCCAACCGTGACAGAAAGCTCAACTTGCCAGCTGAAGGGAAGCTCCTGGCCAAGACCCAGCGCCCTCCGTGGGAGCCTCCAGCCAGCCTGGCCAACGAGCATTCCCACCCATCACCACGGCGCTAGCACAGCCAAGCATTTGGTCCAGAGTCAAATGCTACTGAAAATGTACACACAGATGGGGGCAGCCCTCTGCCTTCTGCCAAGACGCTGAGTGCCCTTCTTGGCAAAGGACAATCACCTCTGTCCTAGTGTCCCTCGGCTGGCAAAGACTGCACCTCTTCACCAGCAGCTACAAATCCTAGGAACCCCACCCCCAAGTCCCACCCTCAAAGTAAACGTGTGGGAGGAGTTGGGGCCGGGTTTGCCGCAGCATTGGGAGCTTTGGTATCTGCTTCACTTTGTGTCTTTTTAGGGGATAACCAGAAGTGATTGTTCCCCTCCTAGGAGAGGTGATTCACCTCCCACAGAGTGGCTGTACTGCCATTGTTCTGTCTCCAGACCTCATCACCCCAGAAACCCTACACCTGAGGACCCCTGCTAGGTGAGCAACACCTGGAGGAGGGTGTGGTCTTTCTCTGACCTTGGAGGGCTAGTAGCTAAGGTTCTAAGGAATGGGCTGACTTTATGGCCAGCAGCTGTCCTTTTACCAGCCTATTAACAGTCTCAAATAGTCTGAGAGAGGAGCATTAAGGGCCCAAGGCAGGAAGCTTCCTGTTTACCCTAGGTCTAAGAATGCCACAGCTGGGTTGGGCGGCCACAGTTTAGAGAAAAGTCATTTCCTTCTAAGACTGCTAAAATACAAACCAGACACTCTGCAGACCTAGAGGTAGATGTCTTTTTGTTCTTTAATGAAGGTGGGAGAAGAGGGAGGTTTGACCCGTCTCTAGCAGTCCCTCTGGGGTGGAGTGAGCGGAAGTCTGAATCTAAAAATGTAAAAGTGTGGAGGCTTAAAAAGAGATTTTAAATGGATTCTTTTCAGCAGTTGTTTATTAATGCCTATTTTGGACTAAGAAGACAGGCACACCTCCAGTCCTCAAATGTCTATAGTGAGTTGCTGGTCAGTACACAAATACGTTCATTAGGGAAGTGGTAGATTCTTTTAAAAGCACACGGAAGTCAGAATTACCCTTTTTTTCTTTCTTTCTCGAGACAGGGTTTCTCTGTGAAACAGATAGATAGTCCTGGCTGTCCTGAAACTCACTCTGTAGACCAAGCTGGCCTGGAACTCTGCTGGGATTAAAGGCGTGTGCCATCACCACCTGACTCTACTTGAACTTTTTATATTGAGGGTGAATTAAAGGTGTGATGCACATGTGCGAGCTCTTCACTTGTGAGGCTGAGCAGGAAGACTATAAAGTGGAGGCCAGCCCAATGTGGCGCAAACCCACAGTGTCAGCGCTCAGGAGGCAGAGAAGTGGGTCTGTGAGTTTCAGGCCAGGCCCGGCTGCACAGAGAGTTCCAGGACAGCCAGAGCAGCATACTGAGACCCTGTTTCAGTTCCCTCCCCCCCAAAAACAGGAGGGGCTGGCAAGAGGTTTCAGTAGTTAAAAGCCCAGTGTTCTACTCTTGTAGAAGACCCAAGTACAGCAACTACCCATAACTCTAGCTCTTGGGGATCCAACACCTGGAAACATTGGGAACTGTGCACATTCCCACACAGAAACATACAAAAACACATTTAAAAAATCTTAAAGCTAGAGAAATAACTCAGTGGTTAAAAGTGCTTACTGCTTACTGCTCTTCCAGAGAGCTAGAGTTTGGTTCCCAGCAACCTTATTGGGAAGCCCCTCTGGAGTTTCCAGAGGATCTAACTCTCTGGCCTCCATGAGTCCCTGAACACATGTGGTATATACTCACACAGATACATACATACGTTAAAAACAAATACATCTTCAAAAAGTTAAATGTAGTGAATGGATGTATTTCTTCCGGTAGAGGTGTGGTCCTGGGGGTGAACCCTTGGTACTGGCTCGGTGGTGTACCACCAGCCAGCCAGAGAATGACTATAGCAGATGGTAAGTTAAGCAAGGCGATCTCAGCGTGAGGGGAGTCAAGGTATGGCCGGCCGTGAGACCTGCATTCAGGATCAGTGCCCTGTGCTGTGTACAACTGTGTGAACTTGAGACGAGCAGAGTTCTAAGCCTGACTTCTGTCATCTGTGCATTATACAGTTGGCTTCCTGACCTCCCCAGTTCTTATCCATAGACTCAATCACTCCCGGACAGTAAGGCAAATGTTACTTTGGGATTTTTGAGACAAGATGCAGTTCATATTGACCTTAAATTGTACAGAGCTGGGGATGGCCTGGAACGCTCCATCCTCCAGGTTGGGTACACCTATCAGAATGGGACAGGTTTTTAGTCTCAGCACTTGGGAAGCAGAGGCAAGCAGATCTCTGAGAAGTCAAGGCCAACTTGGTCTAAATAGCGAGTCTCTGGACAACCAGGGGTACATAGTGAGACTGTCTCCAAAAAAAGAAAGAAAAAAGAAAAAAACAATAGAAACAAATAGTTGAAAAAGGAAATCAGTACTAAGTATGTTGACTTTTTTTTCATTTTCATTCCTATTATTTATATACATTTACATATTATAGAGACATTTTAAATACTCAAGAGGGTTACATAGATTATATACAAAATCAAAATTTTGTGTGTGTGTGTGTGTGTGTCTTTATGGACCCTGGGACTAGTGTGTGTGTGTGTGTGTGTGTGTGTGTGTGTGAGAGAGAGAGAGAGAGAGAGAGAGAGAGTCTCTTCATGGACCCTGGGACCAGTTCTCTGGGTCACTGAGGAAAAACTGCACTGAACATGAAAAGGAATAACATAGTCTTACAGAATAATTGTGAAAATTAAATAGCACCACATGGAAAGCATTTAGAAAGATGTTAACCAAAGAATAGCTGCATTTGGGGCATGCTGAGTGTATCATGCCATCAGCACATTCATGCCCTGGGAAAAGGGGACTCAGATCCAGGGGGAGGGGTCAGGAGCCATCCACAGAGACAGGATCATTGCAGCTGTGCTAGGGTGGGACTGTCCAAAGGAAGAAAGATGAGGGAGGGGCTGTAAGGCTTTGGGCAAAGACTGGCCCTCTCTACACCAGCCTTCTTATCTGCTTGTCTTCCGGGTATAGGGGATAACAAGGCTGTTGCTATTTTAACTTTGGAGAGTGATTACCTGCACTGGATCTAACCTATTAGCATTCCCCCAGGGAAGGGAGGGAGCATGCCTTCTCTGGAGGTGCCTTGCAAGGTCCTTCCCCTCCCTGGGGATATAAAGCCATTAATGGTTGCTGGGGGCAGACAGCACTTTTCTTTGGTGCAGAAACTGCCAATATCCCTGTCAGCTGACCTCACTGAACTCATTGGTTCACTAAGCTAGGCTCTTAAGTTTACTGCTAGTGCCATGTTAGGGTGGGCAGACATGTGCTCATATCTGCCCAGGAAAGCTAATGTAAGGGTATGGTAGCATGGATCCCTCTAGAATAGTCATGAGAACTGTGCCTCGGATAGCACATAGTGACGTATCTGTCATTATCATGTCATTGACATGACAGCATCATCACTGGATACAAATAACATTTGTGGAGGGGGAAAAGAGCTGGGGAGGTAACCCATTCTATAAAAATGCTTGCCACACAAGAATGATGACTCCGGCCTAGAGATGGCTCAGCAGTTAAGAGCACTGGCTGCTCTTCCAGAGAACTGGGTTCAATCGCCAGCACCCATAAGGCAGTTCACAACTGTCTGTAACTCCAGTTCCAGGGGATT